ATTTGCTAATTACCCAATTTTTTAATGCTAAACTGTTAATAAAATTAATTCAGAAATTGATATTTAATAAAAATATATTAAGATGCTACTGCTGATTAAATAAAAAATCAATTGAATTATTGAAATATTAAATTTATAATAATTATACCTATTTTTTCTATACAACCCTTATCAGGGTAATTCAATTAAAAAAAATCGTATTATTCATTTCAGATCTATTAAGTCATGATTCTCTGATGATAATTGACATAGTGATTGAATTATTATACTGTAAATCAATTCAAAAAAAGATTGAATTATTAGTACCATAAAAAGTGTGCTTTTATTTGTCATGAGGGTTTAGTACTTAAACTAAAACAGTACTATAATATCGTTTAAAAGCTATTTTATTAAAAATCTATTAATTTTTATAATTATTATTATTATTATTTTAACAATGGTTAAATCAATCTTCTCTAAAAGAAAATTTTGGTTATAGTTTTGTGCACTCGCTTTATTTATTTACTTATATATAGAGAAGGGACTTAAAAATTAAAAATTCAAATGTCATACCCCGTGAATCATTGAAAAAAAATATCTTCCTTTATAAATTATTGCTCCGACAAATTAGAATTACTTTTTTTTCGTATTGTTAGTCCCATCTCTACTTGTATCATTTGCAATTTTACCTTTACAATCAACATACTACAGATGATACATATTATTTTTAATTTACATAAAGACAAATCTTACAATCCATACTCGTACTGCTTATTATGTAATTGTACGAATTATTGAATTCATTTAAATGTCTAATAAAAATCAATTTGAATTTGGTTACTTATCTTGAAAAACAAATAAGATTTTTCAAACTCTCATTTAATTTCAAAATGCGCCACTTATTTGTTAACTTTGAAACCCCCTAATATCATTATTTGGATTGCTAATTAAAATTTCTCTCACGCAGAGTTTGGACACTTATGCCAAAATAAATTAAATATATTAGCGGTTTAACTGAAAAAGTCTTTTATAATTCGACTAAACTAATGCAAAAAAATTAATTGAGAATTTCGGATTGACATAATTAATTATGATACAATCAATCTGTGTCAGAATGTGAATACTAATTTTTTAACAATTGTTATATATTTCTTTCAGCAAATTAATATTTATTTTATGATGGATATGAATGTTTTAGCTACATAGTACTTACTTGGTCAACAGCTGGTAAGAACTTTATTATTTTATTGAATTTCGAGTAAATGATTAATACTATTAATACATCAAAAATATAACATATATTTTTTAGCAATTAGTTTCTTGCAATGTGTTGTTATTGTTTTTTTAATATGAAAGACTTTAGGTAATATATCAACTTTTATAAACTCTTTGAAAAGTAATAGATAATAAAAATTAATAAGCAATATTTTGTTCTAGAGCTTTAACAATTATTATATCTGTAGCTTGATTTGTTCTACCAAGTAAGTAAAACTTTACACTGACTAATCACAGTATTAACATTTAACTTGTGACTTTTTTAACCTAGTTATTTACACCACCTTTACTATACATGAAATTGATCCGATCTCATTCGATTGTCAGTATGACTTTAAATCTGCAAAAAGTAAAATTGCTTGTGGGATTCGAGCAGCAAATTTTATTTCTATGTGGTTATATTTAATTTATGCGATAGCTAGTCTTATAATAATGATTACTTTGATGTTTGAAAAAGATGATAAACCTGAATTTACTATGATGAATAATTAAAAAGTGGAAACCTAACACTAAAATGAATATGATAAATAGAAGAAAAAAATAATGATAAAGCTATATAAATTTGATCTTTATTTGATTATAATGATTATACATCAACATTTTAATTAAGTTTACCAAATAAAATAACTGTCACGGATCGGATGATGGTGAAATTTGGACCTAATTTAATATGAAATTTTTAGAATTTTTTATGATGTATTATCCTAGCTTTTTTTTAGTGATAGGTTATAATTTAGGGGTTAGAGTTTCTTAGAAAAAGATATAAGTAGATTTCAGTGGGGTTTATATTTTCAAAAGGAGACCCCAAATTTCACCATTCACGATCATCCACGACAATAACTCACAGGAGTTCGCCAGGGCGGCCCCCCAAAGTGCGGGTCAGATGATAAGACGCCACAACACTGCTTCCGCATGCAGCTTTATTATTGCAAAAAATTTTTTAACAATTTATGCAACAAAACAATATACTACTGGTTATTGAGAAGACTGTGGCAATGGTTCAGATCATGTGGCCCGCACTTTTGGGGGCCGCCCTGGCGAACTCTAACTACAGTATTACCTTTTGTTTCTGGCCCAAATTGTCTCTATTAGTCTCTAATCCCATGGCCAACACCTAACAAATTAGTGTGTCTAATTTCAGCCAACTAACACGTGAATCTATGATCTACCAGATTTACTAAAGGTATGTATAAATTGTAATGAGTTTATGTAACGCGCGCAAAGAATATTTCTTATTGTTATGTGTATTTAATTAATTTTGTATTGTATTATTGAATTCAAAATGTAAAAAAAATCATTAGAATTTATGAGACGAGTTTTAAATATTTAGCGTATTGTTTCTTAACTATAAATATTAATTCAAATGAAAAAAGGCACAAATCTTAAAATGTTTTTTTATCATTACGACAAAAAACAACCAAAATTTAATAAATTCAATAGAAACGAAATCATTGAAATCATAAACTGTGTTATTGGAGATATCGATCAGTCAACACTGGAAAAAATTAATGAAACAATAGCCTTACCTATTGATCAACTTATTGCACCAAGTATAAATCGAAGAGGACGTCAAATTCCAAGACCCCAAAATAGTTTTATATTATATAGAAGGAATTTAAATGCAGTTATTAATAACAGAAACGATATAAAAAGCGAATTTAATTTTATTTCAAAATAAGCAAGCATAAACTGGTCAAAAGAAAGTAATGAGGTTAAACAACTTTACGAACTATTAGCAGATTACGCAAAACAAGTCCATAATTTATTGTATCCTGATTACAGTTATAAGCCAAAGCGTAAGAATTGTTTTAAAATACAATCGTTTCCTCTGATTAGGGTTGGCTCTCGAAAAAAAAAATCATGTGCCTCGGCCCTACCTCCTCTTATTTATTATGTTGATAGAAATTTCACAAACTATGATAAAAATATATGGTGTTTAGTTGAT